AGATCACTGAAGTGAGTTGAGAGTTTTCTGCATTTTATTTATTTATAGGCATCCATCTTATATGAAATTCTGGGCGGTTCACAACCAAAAGATAAAAGAGCTAATTACAATACAAAAATATTATTAAAAAAAACTTGGCACCATAATTAGCTTTCACATGCAGCCCACAAGTTCATGTGATCAACCTCATCCTATCTTCATTCAGTTCATTTTAGCAATCCATCTTAACACTGCATGGTAAAACCACCTGAAACTCCATTTGCACCTTCACTATAGACAAGAATACTGAACATAGCAAAAGATATCACAAACAATACACATCCCAGTAGGGCAGAAAACAATTTGCCTGTTATCACAGCAACTTGCAAAACTGCAACTAAAGTTGTACATAATTCCCAGTGGAGCTGTGATATTTCAAAACACAGTATATTTTGTGAAATCAGTTGATTTTTACAGGTAGTTCTCAACTTACAGTACAACCACAATTGAGCCCAAATTTTCTCTTGCTAAGCAAGACATTTGTGAAGTGAGTTTGGCCCCATTTTACAGCCTTTCTTGTCACAGTTGTTAAGTGAATCACTGTAATTGTTATGTTAGTAACACGGTTGTTAAGTAAATCTGGTGTTCTCCATCGACTTTGCTTGTCAAAAGGTCGCAAAAGGTGAACACATGAATCTGGGAGGCTGCAACCGTTACAAATATGAACCAGTTGCCAAGTGGCCAAATTTTGATCATGTGACCGTGGGGATTCTGCAACAGTCATTAAATGTGAAAAATGGTCATCAGTCACTTTTTTCAAAACTGCTGAAACTTCAGATGGTCACTAAACGAATGGTTGTAAGTCAAGAACTACTTTTAGTTTCTTTTCAACAATACAATAGAATTCCACTTGTTTTATGAATAAGCCAATGTCTATCAACGCAGACATAAGACACTTTTTTCTCGATTTCTGCAAGTATACAGAAACTGTAAAAGAAAAATAAAAGCTCTTTGCATTTGCCTATTTTATTTGGAAATCAGTATGAGGTATACATTCATTGCCATTGCAGAGAAGTAATTTGATCTGTCTTGCTTTTCTCCCTTTATATAGCAGCTATTGTGTGCATGCGTCAGAGGTGCATCTGTATGTGTATGATTAAACTGGGAACCACCCCAATGTAGAACAATCTCTGACTTTTCTCCTTACAATAAATTTCCTCGAGTTACTGTTTGCCATGCAGGGGAAAGCTTATATCCCTAGAAAGTTTCAGGATAGATAGCAGCTTTGAGAGGAAATACTCTAATTACATAAATAGCATGTGAGAATCAATATTTTTTTCCCTATGCCACGATCTCAAATTTGGCCTTGTTTAAAATCTTTTAGAGAATTAGCTAATCTGTCCCCAAGAAAGTTAGCTCACAGCTAAATTTCTGTTCTTTCCTTTCTGCTTCGCTCACCCTTTCCCCCAGACAAATCCAAATAATTCTAAAACAAATCCCCTTGTAGAGGAAAATACAGCTTTCCCAAACAAATTCTCCAAATTTGTTCAGATTGCAATTCCCAGACTTCCTAGATGGATGGCTGAATTGCTGGCTGAGAACTTGGGGAGATATAGTTTTATTGCATGGGACTAAACGTGGCATTGTAACGTTTATAAAGCAAACTCTCCCATTAGACACTTGCCTGAGATGTCCCAGCAGGATGAAATTTGCATTGTGACATACATTTTTTTTTAATAGAATGGATGTGAAGCTGGAAAAAACTAGACTAACTTATATTTGTTACCAATATAAATAGCCTTCCATCTTAAGAAGTTCAAATTCAAGGAGAGATGGAGAAAGTCAGGTGACTTTTTTCTTTAGCACTTATTAATAATAACAAATACAGTGCTAACTGAAATGAAAAGCTGTTAGCATCTAACTTTTCTAAAGTTATCAGATTTGGGGGTCAGGGTTAGCTCCATTCCCCGAACATATTACATTTATTGTGAATGTGTGCCATGTAGAGTTATTAAATATTCTATTCAATACAAAGGTACTCATACTCAAAATAAATAGTTCTGTAACTAGCACAAGCCTCATTCACTTGAACTTAAGCCAGTGTTTCTCAACCTTGACAATTTTAAGGCATGTGGACTCCAACTCCCAGAATTCTGGGAGTTGAAGTCCACATGCCTTAAAATTGTCAAGGTTGAGAAACACTGACTTAAGCTAACTTTTTTTTCTCAAAAAGTCTAAAGTCTAGTTGCTTCTGTTAACAAAGTCCTAAGGCAGGTTGGTTCTATAGTACTGTTCTATTACCCAAAGTATAAAATCTTCCCTGTGTCATTAATTCTTTTTATTATTTTACAGATTTTAATGTTCAGAGTTTTAAATAATTTTGTCATCTTTGCAGAAATCTGTGATATTGAGTGGATTAGAAATATTCCTACTACATACTATATAAATAACTATGCTGTCAGAGAACGTGCTATGGAAACAAACTTTATGTTGTTTGACATATACACAGTCTTCTTGCACCAATTCCGTACCTGTTCTTGGCTTTCTGTCACAAACTGGATTTGTATAGCCCTGACTGATCTAACACATTAATCAGGCACAAAGCCAACTTCCTGGAACAGTTTTCAGCATATACAGAAACAATGTGGAAACTATTTGCAAAGTGAAAAAAATACCTGAAAAATATTTGATCTAGTAAGAATGACAGACAAAATGTAAAGGGGATGAAAGAGTAGTCAAGAAAAATTATATAGATAAAAAGATTGATCTGTAAGTATCTCACCATTTTTTATTACAGCAAAACAGTGATTACTAGAAATTATTAGAAATCAGTATACATCTGCCTGAAACAAATCTTGTTTTTTGAACAAATAAATTTTTAGTAGATAAGTAAGTTACTGTACTTTCAAAAAAATACAGTGGTACCTCAGAACGTATTATTAATTGGTTCTGGGAGGCGCGACGAGTACTAAAAATGAGTGACAATGACTTACCACATGACCCTTTGTTTTAGCCAGGAAAGACTTCCTGTCTGTTCCTTTTTCTATGTCAATCACTTTCCAGCATGGCCGACTTCCTGTCCGCTCTCTGTGGCTATCCTCCTCTTACTTTTGTAGCGACCTTCTCAGTATGGCCAACTTCCTGTCCATTCTCCACAACCCTCCCCCTTTTCCTATTGTAGTGCATCGAGTACCATGCAAACAACAAATACCAGGACAACATGTGCAGAGTACCAATTTTATGAAATTTGAAGCAGTTGAGTACTGAGGTACCAATGCATTTGATAGTTAAGCTAATCAATTGTTGGCAGAACGTGTGACCACAATTTATAGCATGCATTCCAAAGCAAATTGTGTAAGTTGGTATATGTGTATATATTTATACACATACCTCCCGCCTACCAGCCATTTGGAAACCCGCCCTTGACAAACGAGTCCCTAACACAAAGAATACCAGACCCACACTCACGAAAACCACACAAGATGTCACCACCATACATCCACGCAAAAAGCAAACCCAAACCCACACCGATGATGAGGCATGACCACAAACCAGAAGCCAGACCACAGCTGCATCATTAGTCACTTTAAACCTCTCCAATCCATACATGAAGCAAAATGACACCCACCATGAAGATGAGGCACGACCACGAACGCGAAGCCAAACAACGGCAATGCAGCTCACCATCTTAAATCCCCCTGCAACTCAGACTAACCCGAGCACAACAAAGCCTCCACCCAAACAGAACACTCCCCCATCTAATCAGAGCACAGCCAACCCCCCATCCAATCAGAGCACAGCCAAACCCCTAACCAATCAGAACACACCTCCACCCAATCAGAACACAGCCAAGCTCCCATCCAATCAGTTCATATCCCCACTAGCAGTTAAAAGCAAGAAACAGCTAGGATCACACATTGTTCCTAGAAGCACGAAGCCGAAAACACCAGCCTGAAGATGACGAATAGGACTTCGTTGAAACATCGCGAAGACACTTCCAATTTGACGTGGGAGAAAACCCGAATAACCAAAGACCTACATATATTTATATCCATCAATATAAACAGAGTCATACACCAGGTTTTCAGGAAAACCTACAATGGAACACCTTTACACTCACTTGAATCTTTTGCCATTCTGAACTGCGGATAAAATAAAAAGGCAGACAATATATAGGAGGATGAAGTGATTCTAGCATACCTAAACACTCAATCAAATTATATTATTTCTTCCCTAAGATTTCCTTTCCTGGTCAAATTGGAGGCCAGAACAATTGTTCCTGCTGAGTTCTAATGTCTATTTATTTATTTATTTAAAACACATGGGGGGAGGGGAACAAAAAGAAAACAGGAGTTTTACAAGATGCATAAATCTGAATAAAAATCTCAAAATAACATTAGATTACTATCGCATATCAAAGAATTTTGGATCAGTTCCTCATCTGTAATTCATTAAGTTCAATGTTCAGCCAACATTCATTTCAGACAATCGCATTAAAAGCAGAGAATGGGATAATTTTCAATATATGAACTTCCCGTAAATTTCATATTCAGATTTATTTATCTCTCTTCTATACTAAAAATTTCTACTCCATCAAGTGTTTAAAGGCCCAAAGAAAGAGATGAATCTTAGCAGATTTCTCTTTCAAATACAACTCTTCACCTACATGCCAGAAAGAATAATCAGACAGCAGAAGTATCTTCAAAGGAGTCTTTCCTACAGATCTTAATTGGACTATTTTATAATTACAATTCTATCCTCTAGAATTCACGTCCTAAACTACTTTAAACTAGTTTCAAGATTAATATTAACTCCTTAAATTGACCTTTAATAACTAGGAACCAGTACAGATATTGTGGTATAATCCTGGACCTTTTCAACAATACCCCTAGTAATACAGTGCAGCAATCACGATGAAATGCAAACAAAACCTGGATAACCAATGCCAAATGAAACCTGCTGAAGAAAGGAAATAGATGATACATCAGTTATCATTGTACATAGTTGCTTCTCACCATAATCACCACTCTTGAATCCACTGATTCATAAGGAACACTACCAGAATTTGAGTGTGTTCTTCCAAAATAAACTGGACATCAATCTCTTCTAATTTCAGAAACTCCTCCTTCATAATATATTCAGGAAACATTCAAGGGTACTGCTTCTCTGGAAATAGATAATGAAGCATAATAGAACTGTCATCAGTAATGTTCTATGCCAGGAGTCCCCAACCCCGGGGCCGCAACCCACTACCAGGCCGTGAGCCATTTGGAACCCGTCTGTGGAAATAACACATGAGCACATGCGCATGCATATCACTGCTAGCGTGGAACCATCTTCTCTCCCCCCTGCCAGTCCGCAAAACCAGAAGGGTTGGGGAACTCTGTTCTATGCTGATGACACCCCATTCCAAAACTCAGGTTGATTTCCCTCAGTGAGTTCATGTAGATGAGGAGAGGTTAGAGAACAAGATGGAACCCTGTCAGACACCACAGATATTAAAGGCTAGTCCCATTACGCCCAACTGAAAGTACTGTAAAACTGTGACTCAAGCCCGCTCAAACTCAGCAATCAAGCTTTGAACCTGACTTGATCCTATTGCCTAATCGAAGAACAACTCTTTAAGATGAGGTATTACATGGATTTAAAACATTGATTTAAAGAGTTCTAACCTCTTATTCACTTAAAAAAAGTCTTTTAAATATACATCTTCAGAGTAGCTTTTAATTAATTAAAAGTCTATTTTTATTCATGAGAATAGAGACAGGGATTCTAAGCCAAATAAATAAATCTTAATATTTTTGTTTTTAATTTCTTTATTGCAGTCAATAGTTGTACCAAAATACAATAATAAATAGAAGTAGAACCCTCCAATCTATTATAGTTTGAAGGAGGAAGAAAAGAGAGACAAAGAGAATACAGAACTCTTAGGCTGTCCATGACTGATCCATAAACCAGGAAAACTACTAAACCAGGCCTGTATCTTTTTTTCTCCATATCTTTATCAGAAAGAAGAAATATTTTAGCATCTAAAAAACTTAACAAAACCAGCCTCTCTCTCTTTTCTAGACCATTTCTCTAAACAAAGGACTTAGCCAGACATTGTCAGCCTCACAGCTATATGAATCCATCTGTCTTGGCTGATCCTCTAGGACAGCCTTAAATTAAACAGTTATTGTTGAAATCACCAGGAAAGTGTCTTCCCAAGACATCTAAGATACTGATTGCTCATTTTAAATTTCCCTCCTAGAAACTGTTCCCACCCCCTTAGGAAATTGGTTTGGTGAACCTGCTTTGTCTTGACTAAGACTTAGCCAATGCGTCCCCTGTAACTATCCTCTATAGATTAATGATCCTGAAAAAAGATTGATAACTGTGTTTAGTTATAGCCAGGGCTTTTTTCCTCATAGAACACCCAGAACGGAGTTCCGACACTTTTTTGGATGGAACCTTGTAGGGTAGGCAAGGCGGATTGTATGACATGTGTGAGTTCCAGCACCTTTTGTTTTTACAAAAAAAGCACTGGTTACAGCTATTCCTAAAAGGTAGTATGGCAAAATTATTTTTATTTATTTATTTTATTTAGATTTTTTTTTAAAAAAATATTGCTCCATAAAGGCTGGATTTAAATTCCTCCATCATATAGTCTTACTAGTTTACATAAATAGAAAGATGAGGTAAAAATGCAAATATTACTGAGTATCTAATTCCAACTGGTTTTGTGTTTTGTTTTGTTTTTGCCTTGCACCACTAAAAACAAACCTATCACATACTAAAGAATGTATATTTTCCTCCTTCTCCTTCAACATGATCAAGTTATCTTGAAGCTTTTCTTTTGCAGGGGTTTGGATCAGGATGGGATTTTTTTACAATAATAATTCTGCCTCTCAGTTACATTTCTAAAGCCCTCTAATCAGACAGGACAACATTATCAAACACTAAAAAAGATCTTTCACTCACTGCAAAAACCAGGTACATAGAATTTAAGTTGTCTAAATTCTCTAAATCAGATGTATTGCTTATAAGAACATCCAACCTCTTTAACTAAGAAGACAGGATATACTTTAAATACCATCTTCTTAAAAGATAGAGTTCTATGAAAAGTGTGATACTCCAGCATGAATGCCCAAGAGTACCGAGTATACAAACAAACAAGCGAACACACTTACATGCATTTTATCCTCTTTTACCTTAAAAGACATTCATGTGTCAATTGGGCCCTCAGACACATGCTGCTCACACCTGAGTGGCCACCTGTTTACTCTGTATTCAGCTGTACAGCAGCTGGCCACGTACACATAGACAAAGAACCTTTATTCATGTTGTCTCCAGGATATCAGTTAGCAGCAAAGAAATATTTTAATCTTAGTAAAGAGATACGAATCAGCACTTTCAGATGATCCTGATCAAACTAAGTAACCACATAACTAGATTGAGCAGCAGGCAATCTGGCTGCTTGAAGTTACTGAGTTAAAGACAGTTTTTAGATGGAAATTGCAACCAGTTTAACATTAAGATTTGGGAAAGGATTTTCCTAAGGCTCCTGGCAAGATAAGGACAATTTAAACCTTTGTAAATTACATGAAGGTCTATTAAAAACCTATTTTCTCCCTGCATCTAGATTAAAGAAACTCATTTCTGCTTTCTACTAATATGTCAGTTATCATATCAAGTTTGACCCGAAGTTGAACAACCTTCCTAAACAGTTCTATACTTACCATTACTGCTATCAAGGAGTTGGCTCAGTGATGTAACCTGAATGTAAAGTACAGGCGATTCTCATTTAGTGATTCAACTCAGTTGTTAAGTGATCTTTAGGTGAAACCATGATTGTGCTTACAATTTTACTTCAGCTTTCCTTTGCTTTCGAAACCTGTGAAGGTTGTAAAGGCAAGGATTGGTCATTAAGTTATTTTTTCATCACATCATAACTGAAAATGGTCACTAAATGAGGCAGTCAATAAGCAAAGACTAGCTGTATAGTAATAAATATTGACTTTTTCTTCTGTTCACTGCTGATAATTCTTGTAATAGGCTTCTGGTCTCCATTCACATCCTTGGAATGAGCATTTTTTTAAAAAAATCTTTGCAGTTTCTGACACCTTTTACTTCTTCTTTTGAAACAGGTATTTCCTTATTCTATGACTATGATTAGAATCTTCCTATCCTTGCTTTTCACTCATACATTCTACAGCAGCTTCAAATGTTACCTGCAAACAAGGGGTGGAGGAAGAGAAGGCAAGGAATGTTACTGTCAAATGTTTGAGCTTAACTTCAGCTTCCAGAAAAATAATCTACTAAGAGCCTAAGACACTTTGATTTTTTTTTTCTCATGCAACATCCCTTCTTTTTAGAAATCACGCTTGAATTTTTAAAGTAATTTGAGAAAAGTCACTGGGATTTATATTTGGAGAAAAGTGTTCAAAATCCTTGCATAAGCCTTAGCTTTTCAGTCTTGGTTCATACAGTCTCAGTACTAAATTCACTTGCTTCCCTATTTATTTAAATGTGTGTATGCCACCTAGTACTTAAATTTTAATATATCGCTTCATAAAAAGATGCATCTGAATTTATTTGAAAACCACAGAAAACAGATCTTGTTAAGATCGCTCCTTTTTTTAATCTTCTATTCTCTAACAGAACCCACTCCACATAGTATATAAGAGTTAATAACAGCAACTTCCTAGTTTATGTTAAATTATTTTTTTCTGATTGTTCTCAGTATCTCTTTCACCTTTCTTTCATGAGAAAACAGATTGTATTCTTGTACCAGGCTGCCTGTTTCTTATTCGCTCCTAGTTATTGCGGCTCTTGGTGTACCATAACTTGCCTCTATGGAAATTTAGTTGTGGCAGAAGTCTATTTCCCGGTTAAATCCCACAGGCTCATGTTGTGATTCCACAGTTATCCTCAGCAGCTCAAGCCTCAATTTTGCTGCAAAGATCGAAGTCTTTGGTAATAAAGTTATGCTCCAAGCATTTTAACTGTGGATTTTTGGTTATCCTTCAGTTCTCCTGCGTGCTTTCCAAAATTCATGAGACAGCATCTACAGTATTGATGTCTTTACAACTATTATCATTATTCCCTTTTATAATAGAGTTTTAATTTGTTTAACATTTTATGTATTATTTCCTACCTTCAATTGTCCCTACAATAGTATGTGTGTGGGGGAGGTTTTGTGTGTGTGTGTGTACATTTATTATCATTGTCATCAGCATCATTGTCATCTCAAATCAATCAACTTAGATGAAGCTCCGTTTATAGTCTACCATGTTTGTCACATGTGTATTGATAGGTAGATGTTTTTTTGACTTCCTAGTCTGACAAACTGACTGGCACAAAGTCAGCTACATCTCAGTTATCCATGTTCAAGGAAGGATTAGAACCAGTGGTGGGATTCAGCCGATTTGCACCACTTTGCCAGAACTGGTAGCTAATTTTTGTTGCCCAGGCCCAGAATGGACTTCCGGAAGCAGCATCCACACAAAGAACCGGTTGTTCACATATTTGAATCCCATCACTGAGTAGAACCTACATTTCTCTATTCCTAATTCAGCACCTTAATCATTACATTATTACACAGAGAGAGGAAACATTAATCAGACCATATTACAGACAATACATAAAATCCTAATTCAGGTTATTTTTGCTGCTCTTCAAAAAGCAACATGGGATGAAATTCCATATCACCTTCTTCCCTCACACCTCCTTTCAGTTTTGAATGGAAGTAATTTTGCTTTGGAGAGCAGTGGCAACATCATCAGCTTCCCCCATATAAATGTAACACTATTTTTCCTCCTGAGCAGTATGAACATGCCCAAAATACATAAAACTAAAGCCAGAAAAGTTGGGCCTTGAGAAAAATTCCAGCATCCAAATTACAACAGGATCTTGAGTACAATCATTCAAATGACACAAAATGGTGACCAAGCTTTCAGGTTCATCAGAATCATATATTAAGTTCACATGATTACAGCGTAATCATATATTAAGATCACGTGATTACAGTAACTGACAAAACATTTCATTACCTCAACTTCATTTTTTTTATAGAGCATGTTCATAATTACCATAGCTGAAAATACAAAGGGAAGTTTTGCAAAACTCATCTAGGGATCAAATACTGTATCATGCATAGCAATGGACCTTACAGAGTGACCCTATTCAATTTTTCATCACTTACTTACACAGTTTGATCTAGTTCAGTGATGGTGAACCTATGGCATGTGTGCCAGAGGTGGCATTCGGGGCCCTCTCTGTGGGCACGCGCGCCATTGCCCCAGGCCTGCCTCCCCCTGCGGCCCCTCGTCTCCAGTAGCCCCCCTGGAGGAGAGTCACCCCCCAGGCGCGGCCTGCATGGAGTAGCGCAGCCAAGGACATAGCCGGGCAGCAGGAAGAAGATTCCGCCCTCACGTTCCATAGCATGCAGATGACACTGCGGGTGTGGGCGGAGGGCATGGCTGCCATGACGCTGCAGGGCTGCCTGGGTGATCTGCTACGGCGGGCCATTGAGGCAGTGCATGGCCCTGTGGTCGGGCGGAGCAAGGGGCGGGCAGGGACGGAGCAGGCAAGGTGGGAGGCAGAGGGCGGGTTTTGGGCACTCGGTCTCTAAAAGGTTCACCATCACTGATCTAGTTCAAAAATGTGTGTTCATCACTTGTTGATTGATCTGTGAACCAGGCTCCCAAAATCTATTACAATGTGAAATACTGAGTTGATAAAAAGGCTGGCTAATTGAGCAGCATGTGGAAAACATGCTGTCTGACATGCATTTAAATAACCCCTAGAATTTATTCTATAGTAGATTTTCATTTGAGATGAGTTTTTTAGACAAATAGTACACTATAATTGCCTGATATAACATATCAACAGTTTCTCGTGTTTCCCATTATTTCTTACCCACAGTAATTTATTACCAGAAATGCTGAAACCACACTTCTTCAGCTTTTTTCTCCAAAAAAAAAAGGTGGGGGTGGGATAGGTATTACTATTGAAAACTTTTTCCAGTGCTCTTTCCCCTTAAACACTGACTCAGTTTCCCTTTCACTGTATCTGAAATATGATTCATATTCCATTTGGAATAACTTTGTATTTGATCTTCTTCATTCCTTGTATCTAAACAAGAACAAGCGTATATATTTATAAAAATGTGTAGACTGTATTTCTCCTGAGACAGGAATGATACTTAACACTTTTCTTTAAAAAAAAAAGTTAAACATTTGTTGTGGACTTTTCAGTGAAGATTTGTAGATGTAATCATACTGATCAAAGTTACTTTATAACATACTGTAGAAGCAGTTAAATGGCTAGGAAAAACCTGGGAATGTGGAAAGAGAACTTAAATAACTGGATGGAAAGAGCAATTCAATATACTTCCCACATACCTGGTTATGGATTTTTACAGCCTTAAAATAAATTAATCAGAAGCCCATGGATTTTAAGGACAGGAAAATATTTCCCATAATGTTTCAGAGCAGAAGTTAACAAGCCTGCTGGGATCTTTTTAGCCCCTGCAGAGCTACAGCATCAGGATTATTAAATGGCTGTCATATCTGAGGTATGGCAGAACATAACTCAATAAACAAGAGAAAACATATGATACAGAAGGGGGAGCATCAGATTACCCTGCACAATTTCAGGACAGGTGTTTGTATGAACTAGAAACACAATAGCAATGTGGAGAAAATATAAAATAAAAATCAAGAAAATGCAATTGCATAAACATGCATACATTATGTTCAAAGCAGTACACAGATCATTATTATTTTTTTTATTAAAAAAGGGTAACACACATGTTTACAAATACTAGAAACCGGAATGCTAAAGGGACAAATGAGGATCTAAAATCAGGATACTTCAGAAAGTCCTATAGGCTGCTCTGGTAGCGAGAGAGAATATAATGGGCTGGAAATATGGCCAACATTGGCCCTATTACTAAGTGCATTTGGTGCTTGGCCGTATGCTTGCAAGCTCCTCCGTGACATCAAAGGTATTGATGATGCCCCTTATGCATCATTGTCCCTCTGAATATCATTGGTTTAACTGCTCTAAAGTCACACAATGGAGACATGGTTTCTTAAGCAGGTTAAGTACTGTAAGACCAACACCACAGAAAATTAAGAAGACGATCTTCTGTCAAATTTAGCATCAGTTAAAATGCAATTTATTTCTTCCAATGGTTTCCTTACTTCCCTCTGTCACCTGACATATGTTGAATAATCTTAGGGCCTTTTATTGAAAATAGAGAACATAGACTCTTTGTCAAGCTTTTTAAAACTGTCCACTAAATGAACAACCTGGATTTTAATAAAAGCTGAAAATTATTTCCACATTTATATTGGAATTTCCTTCTCATTACAGATTTTTAAATAACAACACTCTGAAGAACCTCTATGGATGACATTCTCTGAACAAGCAATCTTAGATTATTTTAAAAAGACAGGGAAAGTTTTATTTAAAATCAGAAGGGTTGAAATACCTAAAAAATCCTAGTTATATTTACAGGAGTAGGACTTATGGATTGATTCTATAGAGCAGACTTCCCCTACCTGATGTTCTCCAAATCAGTTCAGGTTGATTTGAGATAATAATGCTATTTGATATATAAAATTGTCAAAACATATAGCATTTTAAAATGTATGTGTATGTTCACAATCACATGAAATACTTCAACTGAAGAATAAGTAGGTCTTCTAAACAGCAACCAATTTTAATAGGATACTAGACAGCCTGTGACCCATTGGATTATTGTTTCAGACATATACATTTATCTTAAACTGAAAAAACAGACTGACCATAGTCAGGCAAAAAATCATTTAGTGGGAGCAATTTCCAACTTCCTGTTGGCTTCCCTGTTGAATTTTCTTGTGGAAGCTAGCAGCATTGGAAACCCTTCCTTCTTTCCTCCCTCCCTTCCTTGCCTACCTGCTTGCAAATAATTAAAATTTCCCAACAACTGGACTTCTGTATAGCTTCCTTAGCACAGAGCTCTATTGCACTGCCAAAACATATGCTTTAAGCCAATGAAGGACAGCAGTTGTCTTACAGACGACAACTGTATTGCAATATTTTTACTGTGTCTACTTTTATAAATGTAATTAGTTCTGGAAATAATAATAAGGAAACATAGTAGTTGGAGTATCCAGAATTCCAAAGACAAAACTATGGTACCTTACATTTATGAAGCTGCTCTGAAGTCACATGATTTTAAATGAGTACTTTAGCTACTCTGAGATGTTTAAGTGAATGTGGGCATCAGAAACATCCATGAGGGCAACAAGTATGACAAGTGCCATGACATCACAATACAAACTTTGCAACTTATATACTAGCATTTGACATATAAGATGCAACTGTGAAAGATCAGAGGCTCATTATGTCATTATCTGTGTAGGTGTTGACACTTTTCTATCATTGTCACTAGCTTTAAATGACTACTGCATTTGATTCAAATCTTTCTGTAAAAACAAAGCCCAAGGAGATGTGGTGGATCTAGTCACAAGGATTTACCATATACACGATATATACAATATATAGTTAAGTGGGAATCAAATCAAGAAAATAATGTCTCGAAAGGATTCTATCCACTAAGTTTTCTCCTATTACAATAGGCATCCTAAAGCTGATTTTGCTTTGTTGGCAAATATTTAACCAGCTTCTTAGAGTTCAGTATTGCAACATCAAGTTCAGGGTTTAGTATTGCAGAGAAACTTGGAAAAAAATCTCCATCTGGAATCCTGGATAACCGCTTCCAGTCTATATAGGCCAACCTTGCTTAACCTAGTCACAACTAGCCAAGCTTAGAATTCTTGATGTTGTGTTGAAAAAATGGTGCAGAAAATATTGATTTAAATCAGCTAATATTCTAATGCAGACATGTCAAACACAAGGCCCGGGGGCCGGATGCGGCCCATGAACTGGTTTCATATGGCCTGCGAAGCCATCCTGGAAATAGTGAGGGAATGGCCCCCACTGCCTTGGCCCTGGCCCAAGCAGGCCGGGAGCCAATGTACAATTTTGTGGTGGCCATCTATGCTGAAACGCATTCAGTCTTAGCTCCACAAGGCTGTCTAGAAGAACCAGCCCCTGCCGCGTTGGCCCCGCCCCCTGGGTGCATGCTGGGGAAGTGTCACCCTTTGTGAGGAATGAAGAAATGGAATTGGTGCTTGCCCCGGTCCCACCCCCTTCTGCCAGAGACCCTCAGATCTGACCCACTCCTGCCCAGGCCCCGACAGGCAACCTTGACGCGAACGATGTAGTTGGCCATGCCCACCCAGTAGGCCACATCCACTCCATCCACGCCCACCCAGTAGGCTGCACCCACCGTGACCCGCCCCCCCTGAGGGCAACCACAATGCTGATGCGGCCCTCAATGAAATTGAGTTTAATACCCCTGTTCCCAATGCATAGTATTCATTTTCCCTAGTTATAACATGTTTCCCACAAAGCAAATAATTTCTGAGAATTACCTAGCTAGGAAGATTGTGCAGGAAAATAGTTAGAATTATGAGACACTGTAATCACAGGTTTTATACATGAAATCTAGTTGCATCCTTTACCTCAGGGGTTACCAACCAGGGGTGCTCACTAGCTTTAAATGACTACTGCATTTGATTGTACCCTGGGGGGCACAAGATGATATTCCAGGGGTGCAAAAACTTGGGTTTTCAAAATTATAGTGTATATGCATAATTCGTTGCCGTTATTTTCAATTTTTGAAAGGGGTGCGAGAATATATAAGGAGCATTCTAGGGGTGCAGGGTATAGAAAAGGTTGGGAACCACTGCTTTACCTAATCTAGTATTTAGTTTTCTTCTATAAGCATATGTTAGAGAAGATTCTATTTTGGTATTATAATTCCATGTAAGTGATATATATGGTAGTTGCACAACTGACACTATGAGATAAATATTTTTCATCTGAATGTACATTCCAGCTAATGTAAATTATTAGCATGGCAAAGCTTTAAAAAATAATGAAATCTGTCTTGGATAGTAACTGTGACGCCTGTTCTACTGCCTCCAAAAACAGGTTATCTTAAAGTGAAACCGCTTATCTGGACAAAATATGGTAAGTCATATATACTGTGGCAATAGCTGTGACTAGAGTTTGTAGGGAATGATACAATTGCTCTACCTGCTTGCTATACTGATTCTGACCATAAAAATAAAGAAGGCAAGATCTTTTAAATGAAATTGTTATCATTATTATTGTAAAGAAGGGAACCACTGGAAGTCTCTTCAGTTATTGTAGTTTATGTATTTAATAACTATTTATTAGAGGACATTTTCTACCTAATTAAAGTATTATCACAGCAGCATTCTAATGCTTTTTCCCTGTCCACTTCTCTAATTGAAGACTTCATCACTATTGAAATTGCTTGTGTCTGTACTACTTTAAAAGATTAATACATAAGGAAAATTCTGCAGGTGGAAAACCATCATGTCAGGAGATCTAAATCAGAATTATTCATCTAGCTTTCTAGTTTTTCCTAATCCATGGCAAATGGGCAAGCAATTAAAGCCTTGCTAATCCTTACTTTAGATCTAGAACAAGAGGAAAGTATTTTTAAACAAAAAGAAATTAAGAGTTATCTGTGGGAAATGCAGGGAGACTTTGTGTTAATAAATGCAATACAATTTATTAATATTGTCTGCTATTTCCTGAAATAGGACTAGCAAATCATTAAAAGCATTGAGTTAGAAGCCAATCAACGATTGTTGAAATCTGATACAAGTCATCCTAGATTTTGACCACAATTGAGCCCAAAAATTCTGTTCCTAAACAAAACATTTGTTAAGTAAGTTTTGTCCCATTTTATGACTTTTGTTGTCACATATGTTAAGCAAAACACTGCAGTTGTTAAGTTAGTAATATGGTTGTTAAGTGAATCTGGCCTCCCCATTGACTTTACTTATCAGAAGGTTGTAAATGGTGATCACATGATCCTAGGATACTGCAACTGTCATAAATATGAGTCAGTTGTGAAGCATCTGAATTTTGATCATGTGTCCATGGGAATGCTACAATGGTCATAAGTGTAAAAAATGGTCATAAGTCACTTCTTTTAGTGTTGTAACTTCACATAGTCATTAAATGAACTGTTGTTAGTCAAGGACTACCTCTATTAAAGGACTTTTTATTTACCTTCAAATGTGGAATAGAATAGAATAATAGCATTGGAAGGGATCTTGGAGGTCTTCTAGTCCAACCCCCTGCTCAAGCAGGAGACCCTATACCAGGGTGTCAAACTGCCGCCCTGCGGGCCAGATGTGTCACGCAAAAACCGCGCCAACCCCATTGCCAGCAATGGGAAAAAAGTCACAATACTTTGTGACACGTCACGTGGCATCGCGAGTTTGACACCCGTGCCCTATACTATTTCAGATAAATGGCTGTTCAATCTCTTCTTAAAAACCTCCAGTGTGGGAGCACCCATAGCTTTTGAAGGCAAGCCATTCCAATGATTGATCTAATTGTCAAGAAATTTCCCCTTATTTCTAGGTTAGATCTCTCCTTGATTAGTTTCCATCCATTGCTTCTTATCCTGCCTTCAGGTGCTTTGGAGAATAAGTTGACACCCTCTACATACATCACCATCACCTCCAACTTCATTCTGAACTATAGGTTACATGGAATTTTAAGTAAATTCATCTAGCATGTTTATACTTGTGTCAAAAATGAGGAATCCTGCATTAAAACAGTCCTCAACTACACAAGAGTCCATATCCTCATTCAAATATTGTACTTAAATTCCTTCTGCAGATGTTTCTGCTGACATACAAAGTTGGAAAGTAAAAGCTGAGGCCTATCAGAATATCTTTATTAGAAATTTAACCCAGATTCAATCAGCTGAGTACAGACTAGGGACCTCCAGACTCTTAAAATGATCCAATAAGTAATCTGTACCAAAAGTTGTTTGGTATACAATAACTTCCAAAATGGTCTAGATATATATATAAAAACTTTTATAAAGCTATCCTGGTAATGAATTATACAATGCTCAAGTGATACATCTTCTACGTATAAACACAGTCAAGATAAACATTTTTTTCCATTTTGTTTTGTTGCTGTTGTTATGACTATAAAGACAAGTTACTTATGTAAAATTTATATCTGGATGAGTACAAATAGAAATTGAGCGCAAGTAAGTATAAAAGGCCTCAGATCTACTTAACAGCTGGAAAACGATTTACAAAATTCTTAATAGTTGTGTAAGTATTTAAAATCTATTCTTCCCCAACTTGGCCTCTATACATATTTACTACCAGAATTCCCTACAGTACTAGCATTGTCAATTCCAGTTTGGATTGGAATTCTTATGAGGTAAAAACCACATATATTAGCAAGATAGCGGATTGTTTAAGACTGTATTAATCACTTTTATAATAATTTACATTCTTAGAGGGATACCATCTCTGCCTTACTCAGCTCTATGGTTTCAGGAAGTATTTCTTGGGGGGGGGGGGAGAAGTATGAAAGGAGAAAACAGAACCTTTTATGGCAGTTCTTACATTAACAAGACAATATGATAGAAGCAGATCTTAAGTGAACACTATGTTGAGGCCTCATACTTTAGAATGCTATTTCCTAAAGCACCTGTTCAAATCTGAATAGTTTTTATACCACTTTTCAAATGAATATTTTGCATTCTTTAACTATTGTTTTAATTATTTTATTCTATTAATTTGTAGTATAAATCACCTTGAATTGTAATTGTATTGGAAGCAATATAGAAGTATATTGGTTATTTTTAAAAAATAACCAACTATCTTTCGTCGCTGTCAACCAACTACTATGAATTACTGTTTATTATAAAATCTCCTAAGATGTTATAGAATCAGATTGGATGTAATATCAATTGTATGAATGCAATTAAGATGCAGTCATGGGAATACCTAAAATTAATGAATGTTGGCAAATAAACATTAACCTTTTATCTCCCTACATAATTTGTCTTCTGAAAAGCCTACTCATTTGCATAATATTAGATTTATATTACATATGTAATATATAGGTTAATATACATCTGTATAAACTTCCGTCTATAATCAACCTTTTGAATTTCAAGCCAGATTTAGGATTTATAGGTAGCCATCTAATGAATAATTAACTGGAAGGAAATGTCACTGTCTTCCTTGGTCCTTATTTCTGACTAATATCAAATCTGGACTGCTAACATGTACATCGCTATCAGATGGGAGCAAGGAGAGAAAATCCCATCTCATTATAGTATTTAG